TTACACAATGTTATATGTCAAGCATGTATCAATAACTCTGGGAAAATATTAATGAAAGGGACAAAAGATTTGAACAGATGTTCAATCAGTTTACTAATGAAGCACATGAAAAGAGCCAAATAAATTGACAACAAATTTTGTATTTCAATTCCATCCTGCTAAAGCTTTTCCCACAGCACTTAAACATTTGCAAGAGGGTGAGAGGGAGATGTTGGCCAATGAGTACAAACTTACAGTTAGAAAATGAGTAAGTTCTAGGAATTTAATGCACAGCATTGCGATTACAAGTCACAGTCTTGTGCTACATTTCTTGAAAGTTGCTAAGTTACACAAAGCTATATGTTAATTATATCTGAATAAAGTTGGGGGAAAAGAACATAAATTTGCAAGGATTTTGATCTCTACCTTCTTCTTTAATATCGGCAATTCAGCCAAGAAATCTTTAATTTGTCAGTAACACCTTAACGATAAATACAGAACCTTGAGTGCAAATTTTTATCTCATTCAGATGGTTAAAAGTATCTTTTAGGTGAGCCAGGCCATGAATAAAGTCCTCTTTTTCAAATTGTTTCAAGAGTAGGTTTGCTTTTTCTTTAAAAAGTAAACAAATAAAACTTATCAAAATCGGTACTAAAGTTTGTCCCTTTGAAAGCCAGAGAACTTCGGTGGTGACAGAGAAGATTTTCTTATTCCCCGCAAAGGCATTTTTAAAATGTGATGATTTAGAAAATTACTTTGGATAAAGTCGATGGCTCTTTTGGCTGATGACAGAATTTCTTTTAGAGTTGTTTGAGTAGTCTTTTGTCAGTGCATGGTCTGTCACAAAACAAGTGAGTAGCTAGGAGGCGAGGAAAACCAGACGCCCACCCAGGATTGCAGGAGTTCCGTTCCGTCTGCAGAAAGAGACAGGAAGCTTTTGGTTCCCTCAAAGTTCTGCATGATAAAACCACCTTTTTTACCTATTGACAAAAAGTCGTTGACTTTTACACTTCCCAGGGGAGATTCATGATGTAAGAATTCTTCGATGGCTTCAGCATGCGCAGAGCAAGCAAAACCAGAAGGAAATGGGAAGCTTGGCAACACTGAAGGTGGCTTTAGTTTCATCCCATTGTAAAATGAAGGGGTGTGGCATAAGTGCCAATTCCTCAATGGCTGCTTCAAGGTTTTAAAGAAATAGGAACTGTTGGACAAGGAAAATGGATGACAGAGTTTTTTCCTTCATTGCAGTCCACGAATCAGTGCCGACATGGTTCACCAAAGTTTATCCAATATAAGTGGAGCTTCTATTTATTCAGCAGGCTGGTAAGAAAATATGCAGAAGCCCCAAGAAAAGGGTTTTGTAAAATGGCACAACTATGTTTAGAAACACGCCAATTCTTTCCAACTGAGCTTTCTTATTAGGAAAAATTCCAAATTCTAAGATATAGTTTCTGGAAAGACAGAAGTGAGATGCACTTTTACTCTATCTGCATTCACAAGAACATTTACACACACACACACACACACACACACACACACACACACAAAACCACTGTGACCTTTGTGTCCTAGTGAGTTCAAAGATGCAAATGAAGACATCTGATTCCTGTTTTTTCATTTACTTCTATTAGGAACAAGATCTTAGGCACTGCTAACGTTTTGTAGTTTGTTGCCAACATTGAATATGGAAGGGAGTGATTGATAACCTTTAGAGTGTAGCCAAGAGTGGGAGGCCCCAAGATGGACCACTTTGGCATGAAAATTATTTTGAGTTAAAAAGCAATCAATCAAAAGCCAGCAGATTCAGGAAAAGCACCCCTCAACCTCTTGAAAGAATTTAGATGGAGGACCTGCTCCAGGAAGAGAGCTATCACCCATAGATAAAACTCCAACATGGTAAGAGCTAGGTATGGTAGATGGGAGGAACCTAGTTCTCCATGTCCCACTGTTTCGGAGTGGCCCAGCAAATACTTGTTTACCAAATATGTACTCTTTTTTTAAATCTTCCCATAAATTGCATTCCTATCCTCTGAAGTCCCAGACCCTTGCCCCCTTTTCCTTAGTTTGGGGATATATATATATATATATATATATATATATATTCTATGTCTGTGTGGATCCGCCATAGATATGCTATTAAATTTGATTTTCTCCTGTTACTCTGTCTCATGTCAATTTGATTCTTAGTCTGGCTAGAAGGATCTTGAAGGGGACAGCAATTCTTGCTCCCCGACAAGAGGTTAGTGAAAAATTTAAAATTTTCTAGCAAGGTTCATGGACCTCATGAAACTAAGAGGCCACTAAACCCCATATTAATACATTTTGCTCAGGAGCCAAGATAAGGTGCTAACAAAAATCTGTTACCACACCTGCATAAATTCAGTCCATAAACAGTCCTGAAAGGGTTTTTTGAAACCTTTCATTACCATCAGGACTTTTCATCTAAAACATTATATTAACAGCAATATTGTGAACAAAGAGAATGTTAGTGACACTCATCTATGCTTGAACCTCAGCCGGGCTGCTTCATGGACGCTTCACCACCAGGGTGTTGTGAGGGCTCCATGAAACGATGCAAGTAGAAGTGGCTGGCCCCATGTGTGGCACATAGCAAGCACTCAATAAATGTTGGTTTTGTTCTTCTCTCCTTCACCTCTCTTATCACCAGCAATTGGAAGAGGAGGGTGATTTCCCTAGGCCCTGCAAACAGGCTCCTCTCCACCACACTTTTTAAAGATCATTATTTCACACTCTATATACACTCTGAAAAGCCATTACTTCCCCTGGAAGCCAAGGAACAAAGCAGCCTGACTTCTGACTCTATGTCCGTTCCCTCCAAAAAACAAAAGGGCAGCCTTTAGAAGCCAGATTAAGAGGGTTGCTCATCTGTGGTATCACCAAGATTTCAGTTACCAACCCTGAAGCCAAGAATGAATATGAGGACACAATGTTCTGCTGTCTCATCAGAGCAGGACAAATGGCATCTAGGCTGAGTAGATGGTCTTCTTGCCATGGGGTGCATTAATCTGGGACTCTGTATCAGCGGGATTGTGGATAGTGGTATCATGTGAGATTTATCCATCATATGCTCAGCACATCACCATGTGCCAGGCAAAATGCTAGGTCAGAATAACAGATCTTAGTATCCATATTCATGATTTACATTATGAAACCATGGAATGTTAAAGTCGTAAAGGACCATAGAATTGTTGAAGTCTAAAAATCACAGATAAATGGCTTGCTAAAGATGCCATGAATTACATAGTAATCAACCAAAAGTCTCAGACTCCCAGGAAAATCCTCTTTTTCCATCGTACCACACAGCCTCTAGTAGGTTCTAATACTTATTCTTTCCTATGCCGTGCTAAATGAAGAAGGAAAATGTTTCCAAGAAAAAACTTGATGGGTAAGGTTCTGGGGGAGGATGAGGAGTAAGTCAGGTACCCAATGTTTGGGTAGAATTGCAAAACTTCACAATCTTAACTAGAAATAATCCAGCAGAAAGGAGATTCAAAACTCAATGGGCCTTTCAGAAAGCATCTGCCAAGGGGAACCTTGAAAGAAGAGTAGACACTGAAAGCCAACTGCAGTTTAACCTGGAATGTTCTTTACTTCATTTGCTATGGTTTTAGAGTCATTCTCTTTAAACAGATAAATCAGAGAAAATAGGTGACAAATGAAATGCCCTGATAGCCTTGTAAACCCAAGCACCAAAGGCTTAGGGCTTTGCCTTCTTGATAAGCCTTTGAAAAGTCCTGAAAAAAATGCCATCCAGTTTCTAAGATGCCCTCCTGAAATATGGCAGAATAGAAAACTAGACTCAAGACTTCACAATCTGGCTTTTCATTCTAGAATCAATTCTTTTCGAAGAAACGAATTCCCTCATGTTTCTCTTCTTGGGCAATGATCGGCTCCACGCTCTGGTCATAGAAAAAGAACATTGTAGGGGTGCCTGGGTGGCAGAGTCGGTTAAGTGTCCGACTTCAGCCAGGTCACGATCTCGCGGTCCGTGAGTTCGAGCCCCGCGTCAGGCTCTGGGCTGATGGCTCAGAGCCTGGAGCCTGTTTCCGATTCTGTGTCTCCCTCTCTCTCTGCCCCTCCCCCATTCATGCTCTGTCTCTCTCTGTCCCAAAAATAAATAAACATTGAAAAAATTCTAAAAAAAAAAAAGAAAAAGAACATTGTAACTTTTGTGGCATTTGACGTAAGACTTCATGTCACCCAATCTTCACCTGATATCTAAAAATGTCATACTTGATATGTTTTAATGAACGTTTTGTTCCTACAAGCAAGAATATGTCCTTAAATTAGCTCTGCATGGAAGATTCCCAATACCTCTTGCCAAGGTGCCATCAGCTCACTGACACAGGTTAAGCAGACTTGGAATGCTAGGGTTAGTCATGGTTTCCCAGTGCTTTACCCATGGTGAGCCTTAACTGAATTAACTTTTGTAGAGATAGATACCTAAATCATAGAAAAACGAGCCAGTTCATAATATAAATTTGGTAAAGATCATGTTGTGTGGTAATTCTAGCAAGAATCTCCCAGCCCTACAGAGTAAATAGTCCCTGACTGTGAAGGACAGATTTCTGCTAAGGTGAAGTCGTTTTGGGCTGAGAATCAGAAGTTCTAGGTTGAAGGCCCAGCTTGGTCATAGATTATACATCTTTTTCTCTTTCATTCTCCTGTTTCTTCCCCCTCGGGTGAGGAGCTACGTGATCTTTTCTTACTTATACATTGCTCTACATGCACACACAGAACTGTACCTGGAACACCAAAGTTCTCAATAATACTTATTCGTTGATGGTATGAATAAATCTCCAAGAGGCATTGAATCAAGGTGGTTGAAAGTGTGGCCTCCACTAGATATGTAATCATGGGTCAGATACTGGACCTCACCAAGCCCCAGTTTCCCTCTCTGTAAAATTAGAATAAGAATGATAATGTAGTAACTATAACAATAATTGCTGTGCTAAAGATTATAATTAAAAAACCCAGTTAGCTTAATGTAAACCCCCAAATTTACTAATTATCTTTATGCTTTGCTATGGGGTAGAGAGAGAATGAACTTGAGCTTCCAGAGAAAAGCTTGTGTGATTGGTTTCCCTTAGGCATGAATAATTCCTGCCCTGTGAAGAAGGTTTCCTCCCTATAGCCTAAAGAGCTGTTCTTGCAGTTCCTGGCTTCTTTTCCTCCTGTACAGAAGACTTCTGGTTCAGGATGGACAAACATTTCTTGATAGTCTCCTTCCTTTCCTGCTTCATTGTAGGTGAGTCACAGACCTGAGAAGTGGGCTCCAGAGGCAGGATCTCAGGAGCCCTTGGAAACTCTACATGTACAGGAGGTATCCATGGAGGGCTGAGCCTTGACCACGTTTATAAGGGAGGGGAAGCCATTCTTCAGAATGCTCCTTCTGCCTTACGGGCCAACTTTTCTGACCTTTTCAACATTCTGCCATTCCTCACCAGGGGCTCAAGCCTCTATGGCTGCCCCTTCCTACTCTTTCCCCATTCTGTCCCTACCATTCCCCATAATCTAAAATCCTAGCAAGATTTTCCTTAGGTCATCCTTTCCATTCATAAATCTGTATCCCATTTGCTGTGACAGCTGGTCAGTCTATAATGAATAATTTTGTAGTTTGTTTTAGACAGTGACTTTTGATACCCTTATCAGGGAGTTTATATGAAAACAAGTGATTATAGGAGAGGAAGTACTGGATGCTCTAGAACCAGAATTTTTAAATTGCTGTCTTAACATGGATGGAACAGGAAGGTATTATGCTAAGTGAAATAAGTCAGTCAGAGAAAGACAGACACCATATGTTTTCACTGATAACTGGATCTTGAGAAACTTAACAGAAGACCATGGGGGAGGGGAAGGGGAAAAAAAAGTTACAGAGAGGGAGGGAGGCAAATCATAAGAGACTCTTGGATACTGAGAACAAACTGTGGGTTGATGGGGGGTGGGGGAGAAGGGAAAGTGGGTGATGGGCGTTGAGGAGGGCACTTGTTGGGATGAGCACTGGGTGTTGTATGGAAACCAATTTGTCAATAAATTATATTAAAAAAATAAATAAAACAAGAACAATAACCATGTAACCCAAGTAACCATGGGAAGTGTTACTAATATGTTGTAATTCATGAGGACTTTACATACATTCAATTCAAAGTTCAAAATTACAGAGTATATTACCTCATAATACCTAAGTGGCGAATATTAGTAACCTAGCTTGGGTAAAATATTTTATTCTTTTTTTATTTTTTAAAAATGTTTGTTTATTTTTGAGAGAGAGAGAGACAGAGAGAGACAGAGATAGAGTGTGGGCGGGAGAGGGGCAGAGAGAGAGGGAAACACAGAATCTGAAACGGGCTCCAGGCTCTGTCAGCACATGGCCCGACAAGGGGCTGGAACCCACGAACTGAGAGATCATGACCTGAGCGGAAGTCGGACGCTCAACCGACTGAGCCACCCGGGCGCCCCTTGGGTAAAATAGTTTAAAGCATTCACCCTCATTATTACACTCCCACCTATCTACAGTGCTGCCAAGTTGGCTAGGCCATCATTAATAGAACCGTTTTAAAGCTGGAAAAACCAAAGTCATGGGGGCTAAATCTTTGCTCTGAGTTACCTAGGTTAAAACGGCTAAAACAGGGATCCGAAGAATCCTTTTATACTCACAATCGCATTTCTCTGTGATACAAGTTGGTGAGAGCTCCAACTGCTTACTACCTGCTATTCTACCCACCACCAGCTCCTCATCCGCCGCCCCCACCCCCGTCACCTCTACTCCTCCACCCTCCACAATCAGGTCTAGATAATTCCAGCTCCTTCCAAAGTGTCCCTGGTCTGACACCAGCTCTACACTCTCCAGCAGTGACACCCCTGAAGTGCGTAACGTGCCACCTTCGCACACGGACAGATCGCTGTAGAAGAGGCTTTGGTTCCTGTATTGCTCAGACGTTTGAGTCGTGCATGTCTTTAAAGATCTTCCAGGGTAAGTTAGAGGGCCAGTAGAGGTACCGTGAAAATCTTAGAAAATTCTTAGGAGAGCACTTCAGCGATTTTGTATCTCAGACTACGGCCAGTCTGAGGAACCGACGAGCAGAATGCCTCTGAGCTCAGGTCCCTGTGCATGCAGACAGAAGAGGATTGGGGGAAATGAGACAGGAGGAAGACGACGGGGGCCCTATATTCCCAACAAAATGGACCAGATTCTAACTCTGAAGACACTAAAGCACTAGTTGCTAATCTACCAGGAAAGGAAATGAAACAGCTATATAGAGTTGTAGGGACCTCAGGCAAACGAACATGAAGGGGGCCGGTGGTTTCTACATCTCCCTGCCTCAGTCCTCATGGTAGGGATACGCTGTGAAGCCATCCCTAAACCCACCCTGATACCTAATTAAATTTCCACGGGCAGGAATAGTGCCGGGTTTGACTTGTCTTTAGAAAACTTAGATCATATTTTCTATGTTCTTTCTTATTACAGATAACATTCTGCAGTTATCATATATGGTGTGTCAGAAATTCTGCAGAGACTTGACATTTGATTTCCACAATCGGACTTACGTTCATAAATGTTGCAGATACAATTATTGTAACATCGAAATCTAAGATATTTGCCCTCCCGAGGCCTCACTCTGAAGTGTTGATGTTTCTCACCCTTCATACCCTGCCTGCCCTTGCTTTTTTGCCTTGTCTGTCTTGTAAGTACCCCAGCTGTCTCTTTAATTCAGTGTCACCCTTCCTGGCACCTCCAGCTCGGTTTCTATCTCAGTCAGAGGATGATGATTCTGAACAACAGACCTCTCCCCTGACAGGGATTGGCATTTCTATACTCAAGAATCCTGTCCCAAGAGGCTCTGTACAGCGAAATTTAAAACAAGACTGTTCCCAAACCCTATGATCAGCTAAGATAGTTGAGGTGGGCTAGAAGCACTTCAGCTGAACATTCACAAATACTTTTGTCTTAAACTCCCATTTTTATCATTACTATAATTAAGCAGAAATAGCAGCAAAATGGATGGTGGACACTTGAGATTTTCCTCTACGGACACAGTCTTATTTTCCAAGTGGACAGTGTTCACTTCAAACTCAGTCATGATTTTCTTGGCACCTGCAAAGTACACCCGTATACAATGTTAGTATGAAGGAGAAAATAAGGAAATTCCTGCCACTGTGATATTCATAGCTCACACATGGCCACTTGTAGGTCTGTTAATATGTAGTCCAGATACATCACAACTGTCCTTTCTTCTCTTTCCTCTCCTAATCTTTCTCTGCTGCTTACCTCTATGTTACAATATGCAAAAGGAACCAATTCAAACTGGATTATAAATTGAATAGGAAAAGTACCCAATAAAACTAGAAGAAAGCATAGCATGCATTTATAACTTTGGAATAGGCAACGGTTACTTAAACATGACCTAAAAAGCAAAATCGTTTTTAAAAATTGATAAATTAGACCACATTAAAATTAACAATGTCTGTTCACTAGAATGTGTCATTAAGAGAGTAAAAAGGCAAGTTAAAGACTTGGAAGATATTTGCAATACTTATATCCTCCATAGAACTTGTATCCAGAATGCAAAAATAATTCTTACAAAAAGCTGAGGGACTTTATTATTTTTTTTTAATATATGAAATTTACTGTCAAATTGGTTTCCATACAACACCCAGTGCTCATCCCAAAAGATGCCCTCTTTAATGCCCATCACCCACCCTCCCCTCCCTCCCACCCCCATCAACCCTCAGTTTGTTCTCAGTTTTTAAGAGTCTCCCATGCTTTGGCTCTCACTGAGGGACTTTATTACCACTAGACCTGACTTGCAAGAAATGCTGAAAGGAGTTATTTAAGCTGAAATGAAAAGATGCTAATCAATGGCATGAAAACATACAAAAATACATAATACACTGCTTTAGCTTCATGTACAGTCAGGCCTAGAAAATTCTAATAGGATGGTGTGTTAACCACCTAACTATATAGTACAAAGGGCAAAAGGGAAACCATTAGTATAATTGTAGCTCCTGTAATTATTAATAAATACACAATATAAGAGATAAATAATAACCTCAAAATAAAAGGGGGGAAGCTTTTGTAGACAATCAAAGGTAAATTACCATCAGCTTAAACTGGACTATTTAATCTACTTGACACTTGATCTCCACCATCAGACTTAGGTGCAAAAATGATGTAACTACAATTATTGTAACTTCAATAAGACTCATGGTAAGCACAAAGCAAAAACCTAGAGTAGATGCCTAAAAGCTAAACAAAGGGGAGAAAGAGCAAACGACCATGGAAAATATCAATTTGCAGAGACAGGCAGAGACAGAGCGAAGAAAGAAACAAAATAGACACAAAACAACCAGAAAACAATCAACAAGATAGCATTAGTAAGTCCTTACATATCCATAATAACTCTAAATGTAAATGGATCGAATTCCCCGGTCAAAAAAGGGCACAAAGTGGCTGAATGGATAAAACAAGATCCAACTGTATGCTGCCTATAGGAGGTTCCCTTCAGTTTTAAGGACACACATAGGCTCAAAGTGAAAGCATGGAAAAATGATATTCCATACAAGCGGAAACCAAAATAAAGCAGGGTAGCTACACTTATATCACACAAAACAGATTTTAAGCCAAAAATAGTAATCAGAGGAAAAGAAGGTCAATACATAATGATAAAGGAGCTAATTCATCCAAAAGATATGATAATTATAAATATATGCAAACTTAACATTGGAGCACCTAAATGTATTAAGCAAACACTAACAGATTAAAGAAGAAATAGACAATGACACAATAGCAGCAGGAAACTTCAATACTCCACTTTCAGCAATGGATAGATCATCCACACAGAAAATCAACAAGTAAACAATGGACTTGAAGCATACCTTAGACCAAATGGACCTAATGGACATTTGTAGAACATTCTATCCAACAGGGACAGAATACACATTCTTCTCAAGTGCACATGTAACATATCCCCAGGATGGACCATATAACGGGACACAAAACAAGTCCTAGCAAATTTTAAAAGATTGAAATCATACCAAGTATCTTCTGACCACAAGGCTATGAAACCAGAAATCAATAACAAGAAGAAACTGAGAAATCTACAAACATGTGGAAGTTAAATAACACACTCCAGAACAACCAATGGTTCAAAGAAGAAATCAAAAGAAAAAATAAGATATATACATACATATATATGTATATGTGTATGTGTATATATATATATATATATATATATATATATATATATAGAGAGGGAGAGAGAGAGAGAGAGAGAGAGAGAGAAACAAAAATGGAAATACATGGGAATGCAAGCTGGTGCAGCCAGTCTGGAAAACAGTATGGAGGTTCCTCAAAAAGCTAAAAATAGAACTACCCTACGACCCAGCAATTGCACTACTAGGTATTTATCCAAGGGATACAGGTGTGCTGTTTTGAAGGGACATGTGCACTCCAATGTTTATAGCAGCACATTGTATCAACAATAGCCAAAGTATGGAAAAAGCCCAAATGTCCATCGATGGATGAATGTATAAAGAAGATGTGATATATATATACAATGGAGTATTACTCGACAATCAAAAAGAATGAAATCTTGCCATTTGCAACTATGTGGCTGGAACTGGAGGGTATTACACTAAGTGAAATTAGTCAGTCAGAGAAAGACAAAAATCATATGATTTCATTCATATGAGGACTTTAAGGGACAAAACAAATGAACATAAGGGAAGGGAAACAGAAATAATATAAAAACAGGGAGGGGGACAAAACAGAAGAGACTCATAAGTATGGAGAACAAGCTGGGGGTTACAGGAGGGGTTGTGGGGGGGGGGATGGGCTAAATGGGTAAGGGGCACTAAGGAATCTACTCCTGAAATCACCGTTGCACTATATGCTAACTAATTTGGGTGTAAATTTTTAAAATAAAATTTTAAAAAATCGAAACACAACATACCCAAACCTATGATATGCTACAAAAGCAGTTCTGAGAGGGAAGTTATAGCAATAAATGCATATATTCAGAAAATATATATCAAATAAACAACCTAACTTTATACCTGAAAGAACTAGAAAAACAAAACAAAATAAGCCCACAGCTAGCAGAAGCAAGGAAATAGCAAAGATCAGAATAGAAATAAATAAAACAAAGACAAGAAAAACAATGTTAAAAATCAACAAAACTAAGATCTGCTTTTTCAAAAAAATAAACAAATTGACAAACCATTAGGTAGGCTAACTAAAAAGAGAGAGAGAGAGAGAGAAGATTCAAATTATAAAATCAGAAATGGAAGAGGAGACCTTACACTGATAACACAAAATAAAAATTATAAGAGACTACTAAGAGCAATCATATGTCAACTAATTGATTAACCTAGGAGAAATGGATCAATTGCTAGAAACATACAACCTACCAAGACTGAATCAGGGAGAAATGAAAATCTGAATAGACCAATGATGAGTAAGGAGATTGGAGTCACTAATCAAAATCCTTCCAACACAGAAAACTCCTGGATCAGATGGCTTCACCAGCAAATTCTATCAAACATTTAAAGAAGAATTAACATTCTTGCAGTTAGTGTGTTCGAGGCCTGCATCAGGTTTTGTGCTGAAAGCTCAGAGCCTGGAGCCTGCTTTGGATTCTGTGTCTCCCTCTCTGTCTGCCCCTCCCCTGCTCACACTCTGTCTCTCTCTCTCAAAAATAAACAAACATTTGGGGTGCCTGGGTGGCTCAGTTGGTTAAGCTTCTGACTTTGGCTCAGGTCATGATCTCACAGTGTGTGAGTTCAAGCCCTGCCTGGGGCTCTGTGCTGACAGCTCAGAGCCTGGAGCCTGCTTCAGATTCTGTGTCTCCCTCTCTCTCTGCCCCTCCCCTGCTCATGCTCTGTCTCTCTCTCTGTCAAAAATAAATAAACATTAAAGAAAAATTTTAAAGAAGAATTAACATCAATGTTCATACTCTTTCAAAAAATTAAAAGGAGGGAACATTTCTAAATTCATTTTACAAGGCCAACATTATCCTGATCCCAAGGCCAGATAAAAACATTATTAAAAAACTATAGGCCAATATCCCTGGCAAATATAAAAATCTTTTTTTTTTAATTTTTTTTTCAACATTTATTTATTTTTGGGACAGAGAGAGACAGAGCATGAACGGCGGAGGGGCAGAGAGAGAGGGAGACACAGAATCAGAAACAGGCTCCAGGCTCTGAGCCATCAGCCCAGAGCCCGACACGGGGCTCGAACCCACGGACCGCGAGATCGTGACCTGGCTGAAGTCGGACGCTTAACCGACTGCGCCACCCAGTCGCCCCATAAATCTTAACAAAATATTAGCAAATTCAACGACATATTGAAAGGATTAATCACCGTGACCAAAGGGGATTTATGTCTGGGATCCGAGAATGGCTCAACATATGCACATCGATAAATCTGACATACCACATTGGTAGAATAAAAAATTAAAATCATATCATCATCTCAATAGATGCAGAAAAGCATTTGACAAAATATAACAACATTTCATGAGAATAAAATCATCAAAGGAATGGTTATAGGGGAAATATACCTCAACATAATAAAACCTATATATAACAAG